CTTACACGTAAGCTTGCACACAGTCCCAGTTAACAATGACAATGTTTTGGGATGTGTGTAATAATAATAATAATAAACAGTGAATTAAAACAGAAAACGTAAAATAAGAAAAAAGTTAGAAGAGTTAGAATTAATACAATTTTAAAATGATAAAAAATTATTAGAGACACATCATCACTAAATAGTATCTGGGCCAAAAGTGTGTAAATGCTCAATATAGGAAATTATTATAAGACTTATTCAGTCAGACTTGCATAATAATATTAGCCTATAGAGATATGTGTTATTTGTGTACAAAACTACAGTTTTGTGCACAAACTGTGTGTGTATGAGAGAGAGAATTGCCTTTATAGCCTTCATTTTTAAATAATGCTATGAGTAGATCTGGTGTCCAACTTAGTGGTATTTTAGCTTGACATAAAGTTACAGTTTGCAGGTCTTACAGCTTACAGTTAATATTATCATGTAATATTAGTAAAACTTTGCTTTGCTGAAATGGATGATTTATCATTAATAGGTAACCAGAGAAATGACACTAGCTTTATTTACAATACTGCTTTATTTTAATTTCTGAAATGACACAACGTGCACATATATCCTCTGGTATGTCATGTGCTTTCGCATATCGTATAAATAATTATAATGAGCCGCCATGACCAAAAAATGCCAGGACCATTTTTTGGTCCCAGTCCAGCCCTGATTGAGTCCTTGCTACATCGTTAAAACGTAGGCTATACTTATTTCTAAATGTTCTGCTGTAAATATGCAGCAATGGTCTCCCTTGCTAAGGGGTATATAGTTATTTTGTTTTCACCCAAATATGCGGATGTCAGTGTACACTGACAGTGTACTGTACAGTCCCCTGTAACAGACAGACATCCTGCCCATTGAGTTTCCTGCCTTGTAACTCAGACGTCCTGCAGTATCTATTGCTTAAGCAGTCATAGTAGATGGTTGATGGATGAAATTTGTGACAATTAGACCAGCTACAGAGATACATATTAGGGGTGTAACGATATTACAAACCGAACCGAAATATCGCGATACACCAACCACGATACGTATCGCGAAACTCTCGTGGC